CCAGTCCCAGAGGGTGCCAGGGTGGTTTTTACCATGTGAAGCCAATCCCAGAGGGTGCCAGGGTGTTTTTTACCGTGTGAAACCACTCCCAGAGGGTGCCAGGGTGGTTTTTACCATGTGAAGCCAGTCCCAGAGGGTTCCAGAGTGGTTTTTACCATGTGAAACCACTCCCAGAGGGTGCCAGGGTGGTTTTTACCATATGAAGCCAATCCCAGAGGGTGCCAGGGTGTTTTTTACCATGTGAAACCACTCCCAGAGGGTGCCAGGGTTGGTTTTGGCGGCGGGTGGGCGCCTCAGGGGGGTTGCTGACCCGCGCTGTGCCCCGCAGACGTGCGGGTGGAGCAGTGCTACATGCGCTGGGACGAGGACGAGTGCACGGAGCCCCTGCCCGGCAAGTACCGCATGGACATGTGCTGCTGCTCCGTGGGCTCGGCCTGGGGCAGCGACTGCGAGGAGTGCCCCAAGCCGGGCACCGGCGAGTTCAAGGCCATCTGCCCGCGCGGGCCCGGCTTCGCCAACCGCGGGGACGTGCTCTCGGGGAGGCCCTTCTACAAAGGTGAGCGGAAAGCGGGGGGAAAAAGCAACCTCTGCCCGCCCGCCCGCCCCCGGGGCTCTGGGCTCATCAGACACCCCCTCCTCGCTGATCCTCTGCTCTTCTCCACCCCCAGACGTGAACGAGTGCAAGGTCTTCTCCGGGCTCTGCACTCACGGCACGTGCCGGAACACCATCGGCAGCTTCCGGTGCATCTGCGGCAACGGCTTCGCTTTGGACGCCGAGGAGAGGAACTGCACGGGTAAGGGACCCCCCTCTGGGCCACCCTCACCCACCCTGCTGCCTTTGGGGGTGCTCGGCATGGTGGTGACGCCCAGGGGAGTTGTGGCGCTTGTTTTAGGGACGTGGTGAGGAGCCAACCGTGAGCAGAAGCATCGAGGCCGGGAAAGGAGGCAGGACAGGGGGAAGGGGTAGATGCTCATTCTTGGAAGTGTCCTTGGGTGGGGCTTGGAGCAACCTGGGATAATGGAAGGTGTCCCAGCCCATGGCAGGGGGTGGAATGAGATGAGCTTTAAGGTCCCTCCCAGCCCAAACCAGTCTGGGATTCCATGATCCTTTGACACCTCTCCTCCTTGGATTTTGGTGTCAGTTACTGTCCCTCATGCATCCAGGGAGCCTGGAAAGCTGCAGCCTCAGGCAGTGCTCTGTGGCACGCACACAAACCCCCAGCTGTGCTGCAGCAAAGACAAAGCACCGACGTGGGGTCCCAGGGGGTCCTTCAGGGCACCAGGATGGTGGGTTCTCACCCAGGGTAGGGCGTGGAACTGGATAAACTTTGAATTCCCTTCCAACCCAAACCGTCCCGTGATTCCATGAGGCTCCTCCTGCTCGTGGGGTGAAGGATCAGCCCTGCCCCAGGGAGGCAGCTTGGCTGTTATCCCTCCCTTCAGGACCAGGAGTTCCTTGGCCTGCTGGCTCAGACCTGTCCAGCCCCTGTGCGTTGAGTTTGAGATGAAATGAGTGTTTGAAGCCCAGTGCTGGGTTTAGTGGTGCTGGTGGCCTGTCCTTCCTCCACTCCCTGGTGTCTGTTGCCTAAAAGGGGAGAAATAATTCTCTGGGTGATTTTGAGAAGAGAAAGGTTAGAAAGCAGGTCTTTAATTGTGGCAACTCTGGTGCACAAAGATGTGTTGCACACACACACACAGCACAGGCCTTTACAATTTTTATAACACCATCTAATTCTAATATTTGGACATGACCCCCTTGGTTACACCGCCTGTCCCATCCCTTCAGCCCCACCTCCCAGAGCTGAGTTGGTGGTCCCAAAACACCCACCCCTTCATCCCCATCCTCCTCCTCATCGTCATCTCTGTCCTTCTTGGAACATCTTCAAGGCTTCTGAGTACTTTTGACTTGGCTCTGTCAAGTACTTCTGTCTTGTTCTGAGCACATTTTCACAATGAGGCGGATTTTTTTCCACCCGTTGGAATCCCTGACAAAGGGATGTTAAACAACACCTTCGGAGACCTGGCATGGAGGTGCTTGGCTAAAAGTGCTGGAGCTGTGCTAAAACCTATGTAATATAAATAATAGTAATATAAATAATAATAATAATATGAATAATCATGGCTAGGCTTCATGAACGAAGATTTGGGGAGGGCTCTACCCACGTTTGTTCTGTTCCCTACACTTCTCTTGCAGTTGTCTGAGAACAAATAACACCATGTCTGTGGTGCTCCTGTTGGCTCTGAAACCACACTGGCTTTCAGGTAGAATTCCTTCTGCTATAGCAGGTGTTAGTCTGTTCAAGAGTATTCTTGCCAGGATCTTGCCAGCAATGGAGAGCAGAGTAACTTGAGCAGTCTGATTTAATTCCTTTCTTCTTATACAAGGTGATGATGACTGAGTCACGAAGGTCTGATGGTAGCTTGCCTAGTTCCCAACGGCGCACCACAAACTCGTGAAATTAATACAAATAATAATAATATAAATAATAATAATAATATAAATAATAATAATATAAATAATAATGATTGGACTCAGATTTTGAAGGCATCGTGTCCCTCCCTCCCCACAGACATCGATGAGTGCCGCATCTCCCCGGACCTGTGCGGCCACGGCACGTGCATCAACACCCCGGGCAGCTTCGAGTGCGAGTGCTTCGAGGGCTACGAGAGCGGCTTCATGATGATGAAGAACTGCATGGGTAAGTGATGCCAAAACCCCTCAGAATTAAGAATTTTTAATCTCTGAGCAGCGAGGTGTTTATCCATCCGGCGTCGGGAGCGAGCCGGCTCGTGCCGGACGAACTCGGTCGGAGGCGCCGATGCAAAACCAAGGTGTTTGTGCAGTCTGCAAACATAATTACAACATTTTAACATATATCTTCATATGTTACAGCATCTAATCATACATATTAATAATAGGCAGAGTCTAGGCGGGGCTTAGGGCAGCGCTTCCCAGATTCTTCTCTTGGCACTGAGTTTTGGTGCTGGTTCCGGCCTTCAGCCTCAAATCGGGGGCCTGTTTCTCTTCTCTCTCACTTTGACCTCCTCACCTTTCTGTTGTTAACATCCTGACTACTGAAGCTTGCAGAAACCCTTGGCTCTAAGCCCTTTTCTCCTATTCTAATGTCTACCCTGTCTTAATTTATGACCTCTAGGTTGATTGTGTAGCATTTCCAGCCCTCTTCTTATGATTAGGTTTGGGTCCAGCGAGCAGAACAGAACGAGTTCTTCAGCAGCACAGGCAGAGCAGGTGTCGGGGGGGTTTCTCAACAGTTAACTCTTTTAGGCCTTGCTCTGGTTTCGTAAGGACCTGCCCTTGGCCAGGAGGAGGGGGTTGACCATGGCTGGGTCTCTCCCTCCCCTTGGAAATGGGAAAGAGGAGAGGAAAAAAACAGTGAAGGATTTGTGAGTTGAGATAAGAGCTGGGAGAGGTCACCCACTGATCACCATCACAGTGGGCAAAACAGACTCAGAGTGGGGATATTGGTTAAATTTATTAATTATTTATTAGTTAAATTTATTATTTATTTATTAATTTATTAGTTAAATTTATCTCCCTCCCCTCGGCAACGGGGAAGAGGAGGGGAAAAACCTGGCCAAGGATTTGTGAGTTGGGATAAGAGCTGGGAGAGGTCATCCACTGATCACCTTGTATTTCCTTCTTCATCTTGTACTTGTTCCTGTCCTTGAACCAAGCCCCTTCTTCTTCATTTCATGCTCTTCTTCCCTTGGACCTTCCCATGCCCCAAACCTTGGCCGTTCACCTTCCTCTCCTTTCAGCCCCCGGCAGCTGGAGCTCGAGCCTGGCACTGCCACTGAGCTGGGACAGGATCCATGCCTGGTATTTTCATTCCTGCCACCTTTCTCCTGGGCACTGGCCAGTGCCTGGTGGAGCTGTGCCAGCCCAGCAGCTTGGACTGGGTGTTTGACAGCTCCAGTTCTCTCCCCCACTTGGCCCTTTTGCTTTCCGTGACGTCTCATCTCCTTCCCCTTCTCAGCCACTTGTTATTGATTTGGCCACTGACGAATTCAGCCACTGGAAGGTGTCCCTGCCCCTGGCAGGAGGTTGGAGCTGAATGATTTTTAAAGTTCCTTCCAAGCCAAACCATTCTGGGATCCTGTGGTTGTTTACATATTCCCCACTCTAAACACCCCCCCATCTCCACAGATTATTAACCTCACGTGGTCAACCCTTGCACTAAACCATTTTCAAGCACCCTGGCAGATGAGCAGACCTGTCATTTCCACTCCTGTATTAGGAGATAAATTAAATTTTGTCTTTCTAGCACTGCTTGGCCTCCTGCTGTCACAGTCCATCCTCCAGCCACGTGTCATTAAATCAAGTGCCTCCCCTGGCAGGAGGACATGGAGATACACCTTGCTGAGCAAGAGGTCCACCAGGAGATGGATTGTGTCTCCTCCAGCTCAGAACCTTGCTGATTCATCCTGTTTTTCTTGGGCTGCTTTCCACTGGATCTCTTCTAAAATCTCTCTCAACCTGGTCTCACTTTATGTGATATTTAAATATCACTGTGTGTGATATTTAATCTGCACCTTTCCTTGGGCTCTGCAGCAGTTCCATACCAGCCTTAGCCATGAAAGAGGTCCCTGCCAAGCTCCCCAGACATTTTCAGGGATCAATTCCTTCCTGAGAAGTTCTGGTAGACCATCCACACTCTCCTGCTTTTCAGTTATAATTGTAAAGGCTCCTTTCACCTGCCCAGCTCACAGTCCTTTATCCTCAGAAATTCTTTACAGCTCCTCCCACCTGCCCAGTGCTTGTTTTTACTCTGTCAGAGTCTCATCTGTTTTCAATTTAATAATTCTTGTTTGGAGCTTAAAAAATCCCATCAGTGACCTCAGTACCTCAGTTCTTCTCCAACAGCTCAGCCAGACTCTTGCTGTCCTCTAATTCCTGGCATTCCATGTTCTTTTCCTCGTCTGTCCAGCCAGACTCACTTGTCTCACTGACCTACTCTTGATGTTCTGCTTTGGCTTGGACTTCCAAACCACTTCAGTCCTTGGTGTGATTCAACACCATTTATTTATTTTTCATGTTTTATTCTCTGTGTTCTTTGAAACCAATTCCTGCCCTGCCACTGGCCTGGGGTTTGTCTTTTCCATGCAGTTTGTGGTGTGGGTTCCCACAGCTCCCACTCATCATCTTCCTCCTTCTCCTCCTCCTCTGAGACTGTCACAGTCCCCACCAATGATCTGCTGGCTCCTTGCAGCAGTGAGATGTCACATATCTTTATACAAGGATCTTGTTTTGTTGTCCTTTATTTATTTAAAGCTCATTATTATCTGCTCATTATTATATCCAATTCCACCTTGTCCTTGAGGTGACAGGGAGCTGAGTCACCTCCTCCAAGGAATTCTTCCTCTGCTGATGGGATTTGTGAAAATGTACTGGGATAGAGGGGCTGGGAATTATCCTTCTAGTCCTTGCTGGCTCAACTGCACAAAGCTAATGATGTCCTTGCTCCTGATGTCACACTTTATGTCCTGCTGAGGTCACGGCAAGAGTTGTGATTTCAACCAGGAGTCCACTGGACTCACCCAATCCCGGGATTCGCCGCCCCGGTAATTTTGGGATGTCCCTGTGTTTTGGGATGTCCCTCTGGTGGTGGGAACTGTGCTGCTGGCACCAGCATTGCCCTGCTAGCTGGAAAACCCTCTGGAAGGGGACAATTGGTGTCGTTGTGTGCAGATATCAACGAGTGCGAGCGGGACCCGCTGCTGTGCCGGGGCGGGATCTGCATGAACACCGACGGCAGCTTCGAGTGCATCTGCCCCCCTGGCCACGAGCTGACAGCTGAGGGCAACACCTGCATAGGTGAGAGGCTGGAAACCTGCGTCACAGTAAGGGTTCAAGGGGAATCATGCAGGGAAACTCAGGTCTCGTGCAGGGTGTACGAATATCTTCTTCCCTGGAAGCGCCCGAGACCAGGTTGGAGCAGCCTGGTCTGGTGGAATGTGTCTCTGCCCATGGCAGAGGGTGCAATGAGATGATTCTTAAGGTCCCTTCCCACCCAAACCACCCTGTGATTCCATGAGATATGGTTTAGAACAGTGTTGTTCCCAGGGTTTCACTACACTTACGTTGTTCCTTCTGCTGTTCACTGAGCACCGACCAACGAGGCAACGACAAACTCAGTGTGGAGACCCTGGGGTGGGCACCAGGTGATTCCCAGGGTGGGAATCAACCTGGCTGGCTGCTCCAACTGCTCTTCCCCCCTCCCAGATATCAACGAGTGCTCCCTCAGTGACAACCTGTGTCGCAACGGGCGCTGCGTGAACGTCATCGGCACCTACCAGTGCTCGTGCGACTCGGGCTTCCAGGCCACGCTGGACAGGCAGGGCTGTGTTGGTGAGTCCTCCTCCATGCCAAAGAGTCATTCCAGGACCCCAGGATGAGCCCAGAGCCCTCCTGGCCTCTTGTCTGTTATAATGCTCACCGGGGCGTTGGAGGGTTGGACGAGGGGGGAACCTCCCGGTTGAGCGGCGGCCAAATCTACCGGTGAGGGAGTGTGGGTGGCTGTGGTTGGGGGGTAGGGGTTGGTGTCCTCTTCAGCACCTCTGCTGCGAGGCACATATCCCAACCCACCACCCAAACCGCTGCCTGACCTGTCCCTTGTCCCCAGACATCGACGAGTGCACCATCACCAACGGGGGCTGTGACACCCACTGCTCCAACTCGGAGGGCAGCTACGAGTGCAGCTGCAGCGAGGGCTACGCACTCATGCCGGACAAGAGGTCCTGTGCAGGTCAGTGCCCGTGCCGGACAAGAGGTCCTGTGCAGGTCAGTGCCCACCTCAACCCTCGGAGGTGCTGCCCCGGGCACCTCTGTGGCCGCTTCAGGGTGAGGGAATCTCGTTTTTGAGCCTGTTCCCCAGGGGTGATTTTCCCGTCCAACCCCCTCTCACGGGCTCCTGGAACTGCAGGATTTGGAGCAAAGCCCCTCCTGTGCCTCCCTCCTGGGCTTCCACAATACTGTTTACCTTGGCAATGGTCTCCCCTCTCCAGATATCGATGAGTGTGAGGACAATCCTGACATCTGTGATGGTGGGCAGTGCACAAACATCCCCGGCGAGTACCGGTGCCTCTGCTTCGACGGCTTCATGGCATCCCTGGACATGAAGACCTGCATTGGTGAGGGCTGTGCTGCAGCACTGCTGGTGGATGCAGGAAGGGATACAGAGGGTTGCCCCAGAGTCCTTGTGGTGTTCCATGGTTCTTTTCCTCCCGCAGATGTGAACGAGTGTGACCTCAACCCCAACATCTGCCTGCACGGCGAGTGTGAGAACACCAAGGGCTCCTTCATCTGCCACTGCCAGCTCGGCTACTTCGTCAAGAAGGGAACCACAGGCTGCACAGGTGGGAATTCAGCAGACCTGGAGCCTTCCCAGACATCTCCCACGGCTGCCATGGAGAGGACGCCGTGCTTGGGGTGTTGTGTGGGGGATGCCGTGGGCACCCAGGGGTGTGGCTGTGCTGGGAGCAAATCCTGGGCAGCCAGAGGTGGCCAGGAAGGCAGGTTAGAGACAAGAACTGACCTATTTCTAGTTGATAGCCAAACCTTTCCTTTTACAACATTTTCCAGCTCAGGGCTCCAGCTCCAGGCAGCCTGTTCCCCAAACTACCGAGGTTCAGGCTCCTGGGAGCCATTGGTACCAAACCCAGGAGCAGGATCATAGCTGGACCCCCTCCTGGGCAGCCAGAGATGGCCAGGAAGGCAGGTTAGAGACAAGAACTGACCTATTTCTAGTTGATAGCCAAACCTTTCCTTTTGCATCATCTTCCAGAGCTCAGGGCTCCAGCTCCAGGCAGCCTGTTCCCCAAAATGCCGAGGTTCAGGCTCCTGGGATCCATTGGTATCCAAACCCATGAGCAGGATCATACCTGACCTCCTCCTGGACAGTCAGAGGTGGCCAGGAAGGCAGGTTAGAGACAGGAATTGATCTATTTGTAATTAATACCCAAGCCAGGCCCTGCCCTTCCTTTCACATCATCTTCCTCAGCCCTTCAGCTCTGGGGTCCAACCCCAGGCAGCCTGTTCCCCAAAATGCCGAGATTCAGGGCTCCTGGGAACCATTGGAACCCAAACCCAGGAGCGGGATCACGCCTGGCTGCTCTCTCCTGCCCTGGGAGAGCTGAGCTGTGTGTCCTTCCTCCCCTCAGACATCGACGAGTGCGAGATCGGGGCGCACAACTGCGACATGCACGCCTCCTGCATCAACGTGCCCGGCAGCTTCAAGTGCAAGTGTCGCACGGGCTGGCTCGGGGACGGGCTCAAGTGCAATGGTGAGTCCTCACCCGGCACAGGGAGCTCCTGGGGGCACCTCTGAGGGCTGAGTGGGCTAAGCTGGCACGTGGGCTGAGAGCACCAGGAGTCGGATGAAGAGCGGCTGAGGGAGCTGAGGGGGCTCAGCCTGGAGAAAAGGAGGTTCAGGGGGGACCTTCTGGCTCTCTGTGACTCCCTGACGGGAGAGGGGAGCAGGGAGGGAGTTGGGCTCTGCTCCCAGGGAACAAGGGATAGGAAGAGGAGACTGAGGGGAGAGCTCATGGCAGTTACAACTTCCCTGGGAGGGGCAGAGGAGGGGCAGGGACTGAGCTCTGCTCTGGGGGGACCAGGGACAGCACCCAGGGAATGGCCTGGAGCTGTGTCAGGGCAGGCTCAGGTTGGATCCCAGGACAAGGTTCTTCCCCCAGAGGGTGGTTGGGCACTGCCCAGGCTCCCCAGGGCAGTGGGCACAGCCCCAAGGCTGCCAGAGCTCCAGGAGCATTTGGATGATCCTCTCAGGCACATGGGGATGGTCCTGTGCAGGGCCAGGAGTTGGACTGGATGATCCTTGGGGGTCCCTTCCAACCTGGAATATTCTGGGATTCTGTGACAAGAGGAAGCATCCCTTCCCAGGTCTGGTAGAACCCATTCCCAGGGCTGGCAGAACCCATTTCCAGGGCTGCCATTCCAAAGGCTGGCAGAACCCATTCCCAGGGTTGGCAGGGCCCATTCCCAGAGCTGGTAGAACTTCTTCCCAGGGCTGCCATTCCAAAGGCTGGCAGGACCCATTCCCAGGGGTGGTAGAACCCATTCCCAGGGGTGGTAGAACCCATTCCTAGGGCTGGTGCAGCACCCATTCCAAAGGCTGACAGGTCCCATTCCCAGGGCTGGTAGAAGTTCCCTCAGGTGAAGTTTAGGTTGAATATTAGGGAAACTTCATTCCCGGAGAGGGTTGTCAAGCCCTGGAATGGGCTGTCCAGGGAGCTGGTGGAGTCACCATCCCTGGAGGGATCTCAAAGCTGTGTAGATGTGGCACCTGGGGTCACAGAGGACCAGAGAAGCTCCCAGAGATCCGTCGGAGCCTCGCGAGCGCTCCGAGCACCCGGAGAACCTCCCGGAGCATCCCTGAGCCCCCGGAGCTGCCCAGGCTCGGGGGGGCAGGGCCGGAGGCAGAGCCCTGACGGGGTGTTCTCCCCTGCCCAGACCTGGACGAGTGTGCGACCGAAGAGCACAAGTGCAACCTCAACGCCAACTGCGTGAACACGCCCGGCTCCTACCGCTGCGCCTGCCGAGAGGGCTTCAACGGCGACGGCTTCTCCTGCTCAGGTGAGCCCACGGGCACCAGGAATGTGCCATGGGATGTGGAATTGTATCCCAATTATGCCCCCAAAATCCCCCATTTTAACAAGGGGACTGGCAGTTTCTCTGTAAGCGCAGGTGATGAATGGACCTGCGTGTTTGAAGGCTTTTAATTAAAAAGTCGTCGTGAAAGAGGTGGTGGGGTGGTGGGGTGGTGGAGTGTTCTCACCAAAGCTGCAGCAGCTCCAGGGGGGTGTTTAAGCCCCCACGGCTCGTTATGCAGATGTAACAAGCCTTAAGTAAAAAGCCTTTAGGGATTATTATTTCTCACAGTTCCAAGTCACTGGATATTCCCTGGAGCTGCTCTCCAGACAAAATAACTCACTGATCCCAAGCCATTTTACTTCCTTTTTTTTTTTTCGTACTGCTTCAGTTCAAACAGTGGTTTGGAATATTTAATTTTGCTTCGTGTTATCGCAGCTTTACTCGAAGAAACAACACCACTGGAGGAATTCCTCCTGGGCAGACATGTCATTCTCTTTTCTGAGCTTGTTTTCTTCTCATCCTTCGCCCTCTTCCCCACCAGCCTGGCTCAGCACCTTGGGGCGTGTGTCTGGGCTTCCCCCAAAATCCCAGGTGTCCCCCAAAATCCACAGCAGCCCGACTTACACCTCAGATACCTTCAGCAGGGATCCACCACCCCTTCAGCAGGGATCCACCACCCCCTCAGGAGGTGTTTGGGGAGGATCAAGGCAGGGAGGAGAACTGCAGCCCCCTCGCAGCAGAGGGGTGGGATGGGCTCGTGGGAACGTTGAGGGCGAGTTGAGGGAAGTGCCACGTGCTGGGGGTTGCTGTGTCAGTGTCCTGCTGGGTCTCTCTAGACGTGGATGAGTGTGCAGACAACGTGAACCTGTGTGAGAACGGGCAGTGCCTCAATGCCCCCGGCGGGTACCGCTGCGAGTGCGAGATGGGCTTCAACCCCACCGAGGACAGCAAGGCCTGCCAGGGTGAGTGCCCAGAGTTCTGTCCAGCTCAGTGCCCACCTCCCTTCTGCCCTTCCCTCTCCACTGCTCTGTCACCACCCCGTCCATTGCTAAGGCCCCTCATCACCTGGTGGTGCAGAGCTCCCGAGCTTCCAGCGGGCAGGAGTTGGTCCCCAGCCTTCAGAGGGGTTGGGCTAAGCCAAGGATTCCTGCAAAATGTGGGCAGGGGTGAGAGGAGAGGGCATTGATGCAACATTCCTGCAAAATGTGGGCAGGGGTGAGAGGAGAGGGCACTGAGAGCGGTCCTGCTCACCCAGGAGATGGTCTCCCACGGCACCAAAGCCATCCCGAGATGGGTCACCCGCAGCAGGGCCGTGGTGGGACAGGAGAAGCCTGTGCTGGCCCTGGCTCTGGCACACCCTGAGTGCCCAGCTCTGCCTGTTTTTTGCAGACATCGATGAATGCACCTTCCAGAACATCTGTGTCTTTGGCACCTGCCAGAACCTGCCCGGGATGTTCCGCTGCGCCTGCGACGATGGATATGAGCTGGACAGGAGTGGAGGCAACTGCACAGGTCAGGGCTGGCTGGGAGAGGGGCACTGCTCTGGGGTCTGCTGGGGGTGGCACCAGCAGCCTAAAACCAGCTCGGTGGGACGTGGGGATGGGTCTTGGCTGCTGGAAGGGGGACAGGAGGGACAGCTCAGTGTGGCTCTGCTCCTTTCTGCTGCCTCTGGGAGGGTGGTGGGAGGTGGGACAAGGCAAGACCCATTTCTAGAAGGGCTTTGGTGACCATCCCATGACCATCTTAGGAACCAGACGGTGTGGGAGTTCACCTACAGAGCTCAGGGCTGTGGTTTCTGTGCCAATCTTCGCCTTGTTTTTCACTCTCCACCCTTCCATCCTTTCAGACATCAATGAATGTGCAGACCCTGTGAACTGCATCAACGGGCTCTGCGTCAACACCCCCGGCAGCTACTTGTGCAACTGCCCCCAGGACTTCGAGCTGAACCCCACGGGGGTGGGCTGTGTGGGTGAGTGGGGACCTGCATGGAGAGCACCCCTTCCACCCAGCGCCTTGGGGGGACTTCTTGGTGGTCCCTCAGAGCTGGAACTGGCCACTACCAGGCTGGCTGACCACTCTCTGCCCCAGCAGCAGAAGAGAAGCCACCTCCTGTCGGGCCTGGCCCACCTTGTGTCACCCATGTGGGTGCTCTGCTTCTTGAAGAAGTTATTCCAGGGCAGCTCTGGGGCTGTTCTTATTCTCTGGAAGTATCCAAGGCACCACTGGACGGGGCTTGGAGCAACCTGGGCTGGTGGAAGGTGTCCCTGCCCGTGGCAGAGGGTGGAATTCCATGACCTTCAAGGTCCCCCCAGCCCAAACCAGTCTGGGATCCCGTGATTCTGTTCCTCCTGTGCACACAAGGTTTCCTGGAGAGGTTTTGCTCACCCACCCCTGTCTTTGTGCAGACACCCGTGTTGGGAATTGCTTCCTGGACACCCAGGATCGAGGAGACGGGGGGATCTCCTGCAGTGCAGAGATCGGAGTCGGGGTCACTCGGGCCTCCTGCTGCTGCTCCCTGGGCCGTGCCTGGGGCAACCCCTGTGAGCTGTGCCCTCCAGCCAACACCAGTGAGTTGGGAAATGCCTGGGGGGAACTCGGGAATGGGATGGATGGACAGCAGGGAAGAGAGACAGGGATGCTTCCCTATGGGCTCTCAGCTCAGGGCGGGGCTCCTGGGTCCTGGATTTGCTGCTCCATCATGACGATGGAGGAAGGGAAGCTGAGGGAGAGGGAGGCAACCCTGTGCAGGGCCAGGCAGGGCAGGGGAGGGGTGAAGTGGGGTGGGGGAGACCCGGCTGGTCATGCCTTGTGGGATTCAGGTTGGGATCCTTCATCCCTAGTCCGGTGGGGGACGTGGAATAACCCTGTTATTCCAGTGGGCAGGCAGAGCCAGGAGGGATAATTTGGCTTGGCAGGCTGTGGAAGTTGGGCCACTCCCTCTGCCACCACCACCTCCATGGCCTGTTTCTCCCAAGTTTCTCCTGGGTTTCTCCCACTTCTCCCTCCCCCTCCTGTTTCCTGGGAGCCCCCCCCGAGCTCGGGACCCCCCTGACTGATTTTTCCACAGCCGAGTACAAGACCCTGTGCCCTGGAGGGGAAGGATTCCGGCCCAACCCCATCACTGTCATCCTGGAGGGTGAGTTATCCTGTGCCCTGTGCCCAGGGTGCTGGGGGAGCCCAGCCCTGTGAGGGCACTGCTGGGTACCCACCTTTGAATCACAGAATCAGCTGGGTTGGAAGGGACCTCTGAGATCATCAAGTCCAACCCTTGATCCAACCCCGCCGTGTTCCCAGCCCATGGCACTGATGCCACATCCAGTCTCACCTTAAAAACCTCCAGGGA